TTTTTCTAAATTGAGATTTATGCATCATCTGAATAAATAAGCTTTCTATTGATGTGTGGTTTGTTATGATAGCACAACATTTGGTTCGAGACACAACTATTAGAAAATCTGGAATCTGAGGGTGCAAAAAAATCTAAATATTGAGAAAATCATCTTTAAAGTTGTCCAAATGAAGTTCTTAGCAATGCATATTACTAATCAAACATTAAGTTTTGATATATTAACTATTTAAATGTAAGGAAATTGTTATTTATATGTAATCATTAAACATTACAATAGTAATAACAATAAACATTACACATGAAACATTATAATAAAATTACAGATTAGGCCTAAATTAAGCCATCAATGTAACATTAACAAAAATAGACATTATACAAAAAAAAAATATATATATATATATATATATAATTATAGCCTAAATTCAGCTATCAAATGTGATTGTTTACAAAAAAAATCATAATTACAAATTTCGCTAAATTAAGCTATCAATGTAACATTAAACAAACAAAAAAATAGACCATTCTAAAATGTAAAAAATAAAAAAATAGATAAAAATCTGTTCATATAAAATATATATTTATAGCCTAAATTAAACTATCACATATGAATTGTTAAAAAAACATTAACATTACAGATACAGCATAAGTTAAGTTATCAATGTAACATTAAATAAACAAAAATAAGTGAAGAAATTATAAAATATGTCAAAAGTTTGAGTTTATAATTCGTAAAAACTAAAGCTTTTTTATCTAAGAGAAAGGCATTGTTGGTAATTTGGAATTACTATTCACACTTAAATTAAATTATATTAAAAAACGAATTTAATAAAATATATAAATGTATAAATGTTACATTTAACACTTAACATTTACATTTAAATTATTATTTCATTTTGGAATTTAGATTTTTGTTATAATCCCACTGCCAGGTTAAATTTGCATTGCATTGCATGAAATAAAATAAAATAAAACGTGTGTGTATATACTTTTTTATATACAGATATTACAGATTTATATAAAAGGCATATAATTGTGTTTCTGGCTTGTGCTTGCATGTGAATGAATAACACACAAAGTCTGGACTGCAGCTTAACACAGACACACACTAACACACACACAGTCACCGAGCTTTACCTTTTTCACTGCGTTTAGCTGTGTAATAACGCACGAGAAGCGAATGCAGGAGAAATGAAAGAAGAGGACGTGTCAGTGACACAGCAGCACGCCGCATGCGCGGTTAACACAAGACAAACGCAAAATAAACAGGACCGCTCCTCACAACCAATCACACGACAGCATTTCAGAATCAGCTGGAGCGTCCTCAACAGCCGCAAATAAACACGCATGGCTAACGACGCTACACTGACACTGGGACGGACACGCACTCGTGGATACATACCGGGGGGGCCGTTCTTGTAATGCCAATAAACCTAACCGCAATTAGTACTGGCTTCTGAAGAGGAGGACAGGGAAGAAAACAGGGTTAGTGGACCGTCTGTCCGGAAACAGCGGGACGTGAAGATGTGACACTTTCCATGAATGAGACTCGAAGTCCAACTGAGAAGGTCACACTTACTGTATGTTAGCTATTTTTTAAAATTAAATTTTTTGCACATTTCTGCAACCATGCATCCCAGAGTTTGGGACATGATTGAATACGGTTTAAGACACTGATTCGTCTGATTTGATTCTAGCAATTAGCATTAAACAGAAAAATAAACAGAAAATAATTATGTCAACAACAAAAAAAATTTACAGATTAAGCCTAAATTAAGATATCAAAATGGGGATTGATTAAAAAATAATAAAGATATTTTATAAAGATTAATACGATAACAAAATTATAAGATTAATTATAAAATCTAAAAAATATATACATATAATTTATATTTATATAAAAAAAAATTATATTTATAGCCTAAATTAAGCTATCAAATGTGAATGTTTAAAAAACAATTAAACATTACAAATTAATTAAGATGTCGATTTAACAATAAATAAACAATAATTATAAATTCAAAAAATATTTATGTTTATATTAAATGTATATTTATAAACTATCAAATGCGAATGATTAAAAAATAATAAAGATTACAGATTTAGCCTAAATTAAGATATTAATGTAACATTAAATTAACAAAAATAAACAAACAATAATATTTAAAATATATATACATTTAATTTTAATTTATATAAATATGTATATATAAAATGTATATTTATAGCCTAAAATAAGCTATCAAATGTGAATGTTTAAAAAAAAAAATCACAAATTTAGCATAGATTAAGATCATTAAATAAACAAAAATAAATACAGTCTTTATATATATATATTTTTTTTTAGACCAAATTAAGCTATCAAATGTGAATGGTTTAAAAAACATATCAACATTACAGATATAGCATAAATTAAGCTATCAGTGTCACATTAATTAAAAATAAATAGATTAAATAATAATAATTTATATCAAGCCATCAAATGTGAATGGTTGACAAAACCATCAAGTTAACTAAAATACTCAACAGTTGTCAATACATGGGGAACATGGGATTTGTGCCTCTACATTTCACGGGACACTTTAGTATGTAGCTCATTCATGGAAAGTGTGGCTTCACAATGGGGGCGGGGTTTAAATGGGAAGGTCATGAGTGTGGCAGCATCAGGGCGCAGGTCCTGGGTCAGTCTGGGGCTCTGAGGGCTCGAATCACTCACCAGAGATCTCCGGATGTGCGTCAGCCGACTCTTGGCTTTGTTCTCGGCAAACTCCAGTGTGTTGATGTCCTTCAGACGGGCTTTATATTTCCTCATCTGCTCGCAGATGACCAGCTCCACACACCTGACAAGAGAAAGTTAAAACACGCATATTGAAAATTGTACTGAACATGCTAAATAACCATATGGGTAACTGGCCGGCATTTATTGTTGCATGCTGTTTTACAAAAACATAAAATAGAAGGCAGTATACAATGGAAGCTTATTTCTGCCGAGGAATAGAAATATAAGAAAGGTAATTGTGACTCCTTATAATTTTTCTCACAATTTCTCACAGCTTATATCTGGCATTTGAAAGATGTAAACTAATAATTGTGATTTTACATTTTGGAATTCTGACTTTTTTCTGAGTTTACTTTTTTTTTTAGGAATTCTGAATTCACTTCTCACAATTTTTTTTTTTTTCGCAGAATTCTGAGTTTACTTTTCACAATTTTTATTTTTTTCCTCAGAATTCTGAGTTTGTCTCGCAATTTTGACTATTTTTCTCTGAATTCTGAGTTTACTTGCAATGTTAACTTTTTTTTTTTTAGGAATTCTGAGTTCACTTCTCGCAATTTTGAATTTTTTTTAGCAGAATTTTGAGTTTACTTCTCACAATTTTAATTTTTTTTTCCAAAGAATTCTGAATTAACTTCTCACAATTTTTTTTCCAAAGAATTTTGAGTTTACTTCTCACTATTTTTATTTTTTTCCCAAAGAATTTTGAGTTTACTTCTCACTATTTTTATTTTTTTCCCAAAGAATTTTGAGTTTACTTCTCACTATTTTTATTTTTTTCCCAAAGAATTTTGAGTTTACTTCTCACTATTTTTATTTTTTTCCCAAAGAATTTTGAGTTTACTTCTCACTATTTTTATTTTTTTTCCAAAGAATTTTGAGTTTATGTCTAACAATTTTGATATTTTTTCTCAGAATTCTGAGTTTACATCTCTCAATTCTGATTTAGTTTTTTCTCTGAATTCTGAGTTTATTTCTCACAATATTTATTTTTTTTACGCAGAATTCTGAGTTTACGTCTCACAATTTTGATATTTTTTCTCAGATTTCTGAGTTTACATCTCTCAATTCTTTTTTTTTGGAATTGAGTTTACATCTCACAATTCAGTTTTTTTTCTGCCACAGAATAAAAATATAAAGCGGAATTGCTACTTTTTCCTCTCATGGTTCTGACTTTTCTTCAGAATTGTGAGGGGAAAAAAATCTGAATTGTGAGACAAAGTTTCAATTACCTTTTTTTTATTTTATTTTTTATTTTTTTTATTGCATGGCTGAAATACGCTTCCATCATCTAAGTGACGTGACATGTGGCCAAGTATGGTGACCCATACTTGGAATTAGTGCTCTGCAATTCACGACTTCACTGGTATTGCGGTTCACTGGTATTGTGTTCTTATAGAAGTATACAGCGTGTCTTACGCGGTGGTCTTGCTGATGTCCCGATGAAATCGCAATTGCGATTAGGCAAATGCTGCGATTTTCTTGCGCATCTTGTCAGTGAAGCACGGTTCTGTGATCAGCAGTAAATCTCCATCCAAAAGCCAGAGGGCGCTCTCGCGCGAAAACTCCAAATACGCCCCGCAGAACAAATCCAGGAAATTCCTATAGCGGAAGCTATTACTTTAGTAACTGCATAGCAAGGCCCTAGCTACTACCAGAACACCTTAGCAACCACCCAGAACACCTGGACAACTGCATACCAACCATACAGAACACCCTCGCAACCGTATAGTAACATCCTAGCAACCACGTAGCAACACCCTAGTAGCAACCACCCAGAATACTCTAGTAACTGCATAGCAATGCCCTAGCAACCACCAGAACACCTTAGCAACCACCCAAAACACCTGGACAACTGCATGCCACCATTTATAAGAACACCCTCACAACCACATAGTAACATCCTAGCAACCACATATCAACACCCTAATAGCAGCCACCAAACTGCATAGCAACGCCCTAGCAACCACCAGAACACCCTAGCAATGGCCAAGAGCACCTGGACAACTACGTACCAACCATACAGAACATTTACATATGGACATTTAGCAGACGCTTTTATCCAAAGCGACTTACAAATGAGGACAATGGAAGCAATCAAAATCAACAAAAGAGCAATGATATGCAAGTGCTATAACAAGTCTCGGTTAGATGTCTATATATTACTTAATAATTCTGACTAAAATATACATTCCGCTGAAACATTTGTAGTTGGGCAATAAATGTGACATATGTAGAATTTTAAACCTACAAGTAAGTGTATATAAGCCTACATGGTTACATTCACTTCATTTGTTTTCATAGCCTTTAATATGTATTGTTTAGTTGGACAACATTGGGCAGTATGTGAAATATTATATATATATATATATATACAGTATATA